CCCGCATGATGCCCACCTCCAAGGACCCCGATCGAGAATTGTTTGGGCCGAACATTTCAGAAGGTACCAGGCAGCCCCCCCCCCCCCAAAAAAAAAGGGCGCGCGTGTGTGCCTTTTTTTTGCCCCCGCGAGATGGTGATCAGAGTCTCCTTGAGATCGCCGAAACAAACCTGCAAATCCTGCGCCCAGTAGGTGAATTTGGTTAGCTGGTTTAGATGCGTTTTATATCAACATGTCATCTCTCTGTTTGTCCAAAAGGACACCTATGCTTAGGGCCCTTTTCTCATGTTCATGTTTTTGACCAAAGCCCTCCCGAACACAGGGCACTACAAGTGTTTGCGCCAAAGTTGGAATTTGGGTTATACGTAAAGAAATAGAGAACCACATATAATTGTAGATAAATGTATTATGTATGTGCTTGTATTTATATGTACATATATATATATATATATATCTATTGCGCACAATATCAAGGGTACGTACCTCATTTTTCCTGGAGAGCAGGGGGAAACGGGGTAAACGATCGTTTTACTTTGTGGGAAGGAAATTTTTAGTGCTGCCAATCGGCTCAAGAAGTGAGCGTGATAGACAGCGTTTTCCCTTGGGTAGTGGTGTGGTAAGGGAAACCCTCCCCCTTTGGAGGTAGTGGCTGCGGGGTAGAAGTCATCTTAGAAACTGGCTTTCGCTTCTTTCAGGTCTGCGAGAGGGTTGCTCCAAGCCTCTAAATGAATAGCAGCCAAACAACTTGGGTAGAACATCTTGATGGCTATTGGGTTGGATTTTTGGACTTTATATTTTTTGGTAAATCAAGAGGTTTTCCACTAAAGCCGCAAAAAGCTAAGCTTTTGGCAGAGGGGTCAACAGCAACCAAGACATTGGTTGAGTTTCGTTCAGCTTGCCTTTGCAGGGTTGCCAAATCCTGCGGATCGGGTCCAAACCGCGATTCAACAAATCGAAGCCAAATTCAGCGGAAATCTACAGGACATCGTGTGGGTTTAGGTGCGTGTTTGGCCACTAGGTCCCCAGTAGTGCCCTTTTCTCCCTTTTTTGGGGCAGGGTTCCCCTACCAAAATAGAGTACACAAAAAAGGGTACCCTTCTTCTAACCTCTCTACTGGAGGACCTAGTAGCTGGTTTCGTTTGCAAAAACCAGGAGCTGCTGACCTCCATCCACCGGCACTACCACAACTCCTTCACCGACTCTGAGAAGCTCCTCGCTCGGAGGGGGAATCAAACGCGAGTCCTTCTATGAGTTTTATGGGTTGCCAGTGAGCAATTCGGGGCTAAGACGAGCTGAATACAGGTCCTTTTGGGGATTCCCTATTTCAGGTTGTGTCAGTATTGTAGATTGTGCAGATTCCTCTACGAATGTTTTTTTTTGGCCACATGAAGGGCAGGCTTCCTTAAACCGCACCAGTAGGGCACCCTACAAAATTTATCCGAGCCGAATCACAGGGGCGAATCAAGCACCACGGCCTTTTCAGGCCCTTCAACCGTGCCTTTTTGTTCCTTGTGGGGGCGGAACCCAAACTTCTGTGTATGGGGGCCTTTTCTGGTTTCAGCTTGGTGACAAATATACATGTGCAGAACGCATCATGCAACAATACCAACACGGCTACCAATACCAACACTAGTATCAATATCCAATACCACTACAATACAACTACGATATGAATGGAACACACAAAAGCAAGACAATTTTTCTGTGCGCGCACAGATTCCTGGCAACATTCATATACGAACACTTCGCTTGCCCGAGCCTTTTCGACTTAAATTTCCGTTTTTCCCCGAGGCAGGCGAGCCAGAACTTGTTCCTGGGCCTCTACCAGCCCTCCAAGCACCCACCCATGGAGAAGCTGGACTGTGACAGTTGGCTCCACCACCAGCCTTTGGAGGCGACGCCAAGCCGCCGAAGGGGCGGAGAGTAGGGCAGTGGCGCTGGTCTCACGTGTTTTAATCCCCGAGTCAGCAAAATATCCCATCTCACTGCCCGAGTTGGACCTGAAAAAACTGTTTGAGACCATTTCGGTGTACTTGTTTGGGCAACCCACTCTGCCAAAAGGGGCCTGGCAGCCTTTGCTTTGGGTTGCAAAGGCGTTTGGGTTGGAAGACCCAATCAGGGAATCCCGCGCGTGCTTCGGCACACAGCACATGTTGGGCGGTTCCCCGGGCTCAAGATTCGAAACACGCACGATTCGACTGATGGTGTCCACTAAGCCATGTTCTCCAGAAGAGAATGTGGCCTGTATCCTTAAAAAACGTGGCAATACACTCTAGTGGCTGTATGTCTCGTGAAAGCCCTTGGTTGGGGTTGGTTTGGTTGGTTTGGTTGGTGCATCTTGTAAATCGACAGGGTTGCGAGCCTCTAAGCCTGAGACACTCTAAAAAATCACATCAGGGTAGAATGATTGTTGCGTTGCCTTTGGTTTCGCTTTGCCAGGGTTGCCGCATTTCTTCGGCGATCATCGGTCGATTGTGAGCTAGATTTAGCTTGCTTTGTCAACCTTTTGCCTGTTTTCCATCATTCCCCCCTTCAACCTGCAACAAGTTAACTTTTGCCAGAGGGTCGAAGTCTGGACCAGCATCGTGGAGCACTTGTGTATGGTTTTCTCGTTGGAGGTGGGGTTTGGGGCTTGCAGGCCTCTCTCTACAAAGCTATTGAAAAAGTCCAACTTTCTAGGGAAGACCATTTTAGTGGCAAACACAAAGCTTGAACTCGTTTTGGGCCATCCACTCAGGAAGTGACTTTTTCCCCAAACAGTTTACTGTGAGGGGTTCTAAATTCATTTAAGGTGGCTCGCCTGTTGCCAAGCCCTAGCCTGGATGCCTGGCACAGCTCTCTGGGTGGACGGGTTCATTTGTCTCCCTGTGTCTCCCTTCATTTGTCTCCCGTTGTCTCCCCGCCTGGATGCCTGGCACGGCTCTCTGGGTGGACGCATTCGTTTGTCTCCCTGGGTTCACTTGTCTCCCTTTGTCTCCCTTCATTTGTCTCCCGTTGTCTCCCAGCCTGGATGATCCAGTCTGGGTGGACGGGTTCATTTGTCTCCCTTTGTCATTTGTCTCCTGTTGTCTCCCAGCCTGGATGCCTGGCACGGCTCTCTGGGTGGACGGGTTCATTTGTCTCCCTTTGTCTCCTTCATTTGTCTCCCAGCCTGGATGCCTGGCGCGGCTCGGGTTCATTTGTCTCCCTTTGTCTCCCTTCATTTGTCTCCCGTTGTCTCCCAGCCTGGATGCCTGGGTGGACAGATTCACTTGTCTCCCTTTGTCTCCCTTCATTTGTCGCCCGTTGTCTCCCAGCCTGGATCTGGCACGGCTCTCTGGGTGGACGGGTTCATGTGTCTCCCTTTGTCCCCTTCATTTGTCTCCCGTTCTCTCCCAGCCTGGATGCCTGGCACGGCTCTCTGGGTGGACGGGTTCATTTGTCTCCCTTTGTCTCCCTTGATTTCTCCCGTTGTCTCCCAGCCTGGATGCCTGGCACGGCTCTCTGGGTGGACGGGTTCATTTGTCTCCCTTTGTCTCCCTTCATTTGTCTCCCGTTGTCTCCCAGCCTGGATGCCTGGCGCGGCTCTCTGGGTGGACGGGTTCATTTGTCTACCTTTGTCTCCCAGGATGTCTGGCACCCCTTTGTTTCCCTTCATTTGTCTCCCGTTGTCTCCCAGCCTGGATGCCTGGCACTGTTTTTTTGGTGGACAGATTCACTTTTCTCCCTTTGTCTCCCTTCATTTGGCTCCTGTTGTCTCCCAGCCTGGATGTCTGTCACGGCTCTCCAGGCGGACGGATTCACTTGTCTCCCTTGGTTCCCCTTCATTTGTCTCCCATCTCTGTGGGTGGACGGATTCATTTGTTTCCCTTTGTCTCCCTTTATTTGTCTTCCGTTGTCTCCCAGCCTGGATGCCTGGCACGGCTCTCTGGGTGGACGGATTCATTTGTCTCCCGTTGTCTCCCAGCCTGGATGTGTGGCACTCACGCTCCGCGGTTTCCTTCACTTCCCGCGGTTCTGTCCTTTGGCGGGGTCTGGTTTGCCTTCGGCTTTGGCCCTGGCTTCGGTCATTCCTTGTCTTGTGGATGTTGGGGACAGGGTCCTCCTCTGTCTGCCCTTCATCTGGACTTCGATTTCGCTTGGGCTCGTGGTGGGTCGTCTTCCTTGTCTATCGTTGGCTACACCCTGTCTGTTCGTTCAGTGCCTCGTTATCAGTTGCGGTCCCGAGCTGACGATAGCGGTGCGCTGCGGTGCGCGGCTTCAGCTACGAGAAGGCTCTGTTAACCCCCCGGTGAAACAAACGTGAATCACGCTGGAGTTAAATCCTCTATCGATTCTTCGAGGATGTTCAACGAACCTTACGCTGAGATACCCAGTGGTGCTCTTGGCACCTGGGGTTGTCCCGGCTCTCCCGGCGGACGGGTTCATTTGTCTCCCTCTCCCTCCATTTGCCTGACGGATTCATTTGTCTCCCTTTGTCTCCCTTTATTTGGCCCCGGTTGTCTCCCAGCCTGGACGCCTGTCACGGCTCTCTGGGGTGGAGGGGTTCATTTGTCTCCCTTTGTCTCCCTTCATTTGTCTCCCGTTGTCTCCCAGCCTGGATGCCTGGCACGGCTCTCTGGGTGGACGGGTTCATTTGTCTCCCTTTGTCTCCCTTCATTTGGCTCCCCTTGTCTCCCAGCCTGGATGTCTGGGTGGACGGGTTCATTTGTCTCCCTTTGTCTCCCTTCATTTGTCTGGCACGGCTCTCTGGTCTTTGTTTCCCTTCATTTGTCTCCCGTTGTCTCCCAGCCTGGATGTCTGGCACGGCTCTCCAGGCGGACAGATTTGTCTCCCGTTGTCTCCCAGCCTGGATGCCTGGCACAGCTCTTTGGGTGGACAGTTTCACTTGTCTCCCTTTGTCTCCCTTCATTTGGCCCCCCTTGTCTCCCAGCCTGGATGTCTGTCACGGCTCTCCAGGCGGACGGATTCACTTGTCTCCCTTGGTTCCCCTTCATTTGGACGGATTGATTTGTCTCCCTTTGTCTCCCTTTATTTGTCTCCCGTTGTCTCCCAGCCTGGATGCCTCTCTGGGTGGACGGCCCTTTGTCTCCCTTTGTTTGTCTCCCGTTGTCTCCCAGCCTGGATGCCCCTCTGGGTGGACGGATTCATTTGTCTCCTGTTGTCTCCCAGCCTGGATGTGTGGCACTCACGCTCCGCGGTTTCCTTCACTTCCCGCGGTTCTGTCCTTTTGGCGGGATCTGGTTTGCCTTCGGCTTCGGCCCTGGCTTCGGTCATTCCTTGTCTTGTGGATGTTGGGGACAGGGTCCTCCGTCTCCCCTTCATCTGGACTTCGATTTTGCTTGGGCTCGTGGTGGGTCGTCTTCCTTGTCTATCGTTGGCTACACCCTGTCTGTTCGTTCAGTGCCTCGTTATCAGTTGCGGCCTCTCTCTGTCCTTGCTCGCATTTGGAGTCCCGAGCTGACGAGAGCGGTGCGCTGCGGTGCACGGCTTCAGCTACGAGAAGGCTCTGTTAACCCCCCGGTGAAACAAACGTGAATCACGCTGGAGTTAAATCGTCTATCGATTCTTTGATGATGTTCAACGAACCTACGCCGAGATACCCAGTGGTGCTCTTGGCACCTGGGGTTGTCCCGGCTCTCCCGGCGGACGGGTTCCTCTCCCTTCATTTGCCTGACAGATTCATTTGTCTCCCTTTGTCTCCCTTTATTTGGCCCCGGTTGTCTCCCAGCCTGGATGCCTGTCACGGCTCTCTGGGTGGACGGATTCGTTTGTCTCCCAGCTTGGATGTCTGGCACGGCTCTCCGGGCGGACGGGTTCATTTGTCTCCCTTTGTCTCCTTCTTGTTGTCCCCCAGCCTGGATGCCTGGCACGGCTCCCTGGTCATTCGCGGTGTATTCCGCGGGCACGCATGTGTGTTTGAGGCTCAGAAACGTGTGTTTGAGCGCGCGCGTGCGCTTGATCAAGCCACAGGCAGCATGCTGCGGATGCACGTACGAGTGCTTCAAGTAAATGATTGTGTGTTCTTGGTGTGTTCCAGCTGACCACATCGGCGCGTTCCAAGTGAACACGCACTTTTTGCATGTGACCACATGAGTGTGTTCCACGTCAGCACATGTTTGTGTTCCAGGTGAAAGCATGCGATTGTTCTGATAAAACACATATGCGATCCGGTCAAAATTCCTAGTAAGGGGGTTTAGTCTACAGAGGCCACCGTCGCAGTCACTTTGTGCAGTTTTAAATGGAGGGCCATTTTTTTAGGATTTTTTCGTTTTTTTTTAGGAATTATTTTTGTTTTTCAGGGTCGGTGGCTTTTCGGCTTTTTGGCTTTTGTGGCTTTTACGTGGGTTTTTGTGGCTTTCGTGGCTTTTCATTTCGCATCATCTGCATTCACAGTTCCTCTCTTTTCGCATCCTCTGCATTGCCAGTTCCGCTGCGGCAGGTGGCTTTTTGGCTTTTTGGCTTTTTGGCTTTTTGGCTTTTTGGCTTTTTGGCTTTTGGCTTTCTGGCTTTGGCTTTTCGCATCCTGATGCTTTTCCAGTTGGCTTCCTGCATCCTCAGCATCGCCAGTTCCTCTCTGGGCCCCCGCCACCCCCCTTTCGATTAAAATGCACGCCTATTTGAATCATCACTTTTTCGATCATCATGCGACAGCTACTTTTTAGATTCTTTGCCCCTAATTTTTCGATCATCATGGGGGGGGCTGCCGCCCCCCCCAACCCCCCCGCTATTTTTTTAGACTTTTTGCCCCTGATTGAATCATCACTTTTTCGATCATCATGGGGGGGGCTGCCGCCACGTTTTAGGTGTTTTACAGGGATTAGTTTGCCCGTATTTGAATCCTCACTTTTACCATGAAATACGAAAAGCCAATTTGCTGGTGATGCTGGGGATGTTGGCTACACATGCGGGGGATGTTGAAAACGATGCTGATGATGTTGACGGACTAGCGTAAAATACGTACATTTCGCGAGAAAATGCTGTAAATTACAGCATTTTAGTAGCCAGGACGGAAAACAAAAAAAACCCAAAATAAAACAAACAAATCCCAAATTAAATCTCGACCCGTTTTTCATTCACACAAAGCGGAGTCCTGCAAATACCAATGGATTGCCCGCTCCCCACTGGAGGCGCTAGGATGGCGCTTGGTTTGCGCTAGGGTCTTCGGTGATCTTGGTTTCCAAGAGTTGGCGCGTGGGTTGCCGCGATGGGCTTTGCGTGGCTTTCAAGGGTGTAATGTTGCAGTTCTTACTTAGTACTTGAAGCCAGCCCGCACGTTTACCTTCATCTTACGTGGCCTTAATTTGTCAAATCCACACAGATGGTCGCCGTGACTCCAAAAAATACGGCGAACCCGCGCTAGCCGCGCGCTAGCAAGGCGCTAGCGCAGTGGTCAGCTGTGACCGGTTCCCAGTTACGCTTCAATCCAAATTTGCTTCCGCTCTCCTCGCATGCAATTATCATGGAGTGCGATTTGCTGGACAAAGGGGAGAAACAACGGCTGAGGCAAGACGGCAGGGATGCCTTGTACCGAGCATACGGAAGAATTGGGTTGCGTATTTCCCTGCGAAAGCAAATGCTTTACTGAATCGATACGAAGAGTTGCCACAATACGATCAAAGCACTTTAGCAATCGATACGAAAGACACTGTGCAGCTAAGCGAGAAAGAAGCGCAATGCGCCGGAAAGCTTTTGCTAAGCTGAAGCCTGTAACTGCTGGAGACGCATCCGATACTGATAGTACTAGCAGTAGTAGCAGCAGCAGCAGCAGCAGGCTCGCGCGCTAGCAATGTGTTGCAAAAAAGCTAGATTGATCGTACACGAACACTATTTTCCTACTTGGAACACGCATATAAAACACAAGCGTTGTTCAAGGCAGAGCCCCATGGAATAGCGCCTCACAGCCGGCTTCGGGAACTTGATTTATGTGTCGCCCAGGCGTGCAGGAAATGTAAATTCCATGTGAACACATTTTTGTTGTCCAGGTGAACGCATGTGTGTTGCACATTTGTGTTGCACATGTTTCTCCACATGTGCACACACGTGTGTTCCATGTGTACACATATGTGTGTTACAAGTCAACACAGAAGTTTGTTCTGGTTAAACATGCTTGTGTGATCCAGGTCTGCACCAGTGTCGCACGTGAACACAAATGCCTGTTCCAAGTGAGCGCATATATGGGTTCCAGGTGAACACATATGTGTGTTGCAGGTGAACAGAAATGTGCTTTCCAGACATACACACATATGTGTTCCAGGTGTACGCATGTGTGTGTGTGTGCGTGTTCCGGGCGCGCATATATATATATATATATATGTGTGTGTGTGTGTGTTCGCGTGTGCACATATGTGTGTTCCACATGTACACATATGTGCGTTCACGTGCGCACATATGCGTGTTGCACGTGTACACATATGTGTGTTCACGTGTACACACATGTGTGTTCTTATCAGACACGTGTATGTGTTCCAGGAGAACACATGTTTGTTATCAGATGAACACGTGCGTGTGTGTCTGCTCCGCGTGCACTTTTTTTGTATGTGTGTTCACGTGCACACATTGTGTGTTCACGCGTGCGCACATGTGCGTTCCAACTGGACACGTGTTTGTGTTCCAGGAGGACACATGTTTGTTATCAGATGAACACGTGTGTGTGTGTGTCTGCTCCGCATGCGCATGTGTGTGTGTTCATTTGCACACATATGTGTGTTCCACGTGCACACATTTGTGTGTTCACGTGTCCACACATGTGTGTTCCAATTGGACACGTGTTTGTGTTTCAGGTGAATACATGTTTGTTTTCAGATGAACGCACGTGTGTGTGTGTTCCGGGTGCGCATATATATGTGTGTGTGTTCACGTGTACACATATGTGTGTTCACGTGTACACACGTCTGTGTTCCAATTAGACACACGGTTGTGTTCCAGGAGAACACGTGTTTGTTATCAGATGAACACTCGTGTGTGTCTGTGTTTTCCGCGCGCGCATAAATGTGTGTGTTCACATGTGCAGTACACATGTGTGTGTTCCACGTGTGCTGTGTTCACGTGTACACATATGTGTGTTCACGTGTACACACGTCTGTGTTCCAATTAGACACACGGTTGTGTTCCAGGAGAACACGTGTTTGTTATCAGATGAACACTCGTGTGTGTCTGTGTTTTCCGCGCGCGCATAAATGTGTGTGTTCACATGTGCAGTACACATGTGTGTGTTGCACGTGTGCACATGTGTGTGTTCACGTGTGCGCATTTGCGTCTCCCACGTGTACACATATGTGTGTTCACGTGTACACACATGTGTGTTCCAATGGACACGTGTTTGTGTTCCAGGTGAACACATGTTTGTTTTCAGATGAACACTCGTGTGTGTGTGTTCCGGGTGCGCGTATATATGTGTGTGTTCACGTGTACACATATGTGTGTTCACGTGTACACACGTCTGTGTTCCAATTAGACACACGGTTGTGTTCCAGGAGAACACATGTTTGTTATCAGATGAACACGTGCGTGTGTGTCTGCTCCGCGTGCACTTTTTTGTATGTGTGTTCACGGCACACATTGTGTGTTCGCGCGTGCACACATGTGCGTTCCAACTGGACACGTGTTTGTGTTCCAGGAGGACACATGTTTGTTATCAGATGAACGCGTGTGTGTGTGTGTGTCTGCTCCGCGTGCGCATGTATGTGTGTTCATTTGCACACATATGTGTGTTCCACATGTACACATTTGTGAGTTCATGTGTCCACACATGTTTGTTCCAATTGGACACGTGTTTGTGTTTCAGGTGAATACATGTTTGTTTTCAGATGAACGCACGTGTGTGTGTGTGTGTTCCGGGTGCGCATATATATATATATATATATGTGTGTGTTCACGTGTACACATATGTGTGTTCACGTGTACACACGGTTGTGTTCCAATTAGACACACGGTTGTGTTCCAGGAGACCACGTGTTTGTTATCAGATGAACACTCGTGTGTGTCTGTGTTTTCCGCGCGCGCATAAATGTGTGTGTTCACATGTGCAGTACACATGTGTGTGTTCCACGTGTGCACATGTGTGTGTGTGTCACGTGTGCGCATTTGCGTCTCCCACGTGTACACATATGTGTGTTCACGTGTACACACATGCGTGTTCCAATTGGACACGTGTTTGTGTTCCAGGAGAACACATGGTTGTTATCAGATGAGCACACGGGTGTGTGTTCCGGGTGCACATATATGTGAGTGTTCACGTGTGCACATATGCGTGTTCACGTGTGCACATATGTGTGTTCCACGTGTACGCACATGTGTGTTCCAATTGGACACGTGTTTGTGTTCCAGGTGAACAGATGTGTGTTTCACGTGAACACATTAGTATGTGCTAGATGAACTTTTTTTGGCATCTGACGACATATTTGCTCTCCAGGTGTGCACATGTATGCGCTCCAGAAAACGCATGATTGTTTTCGAGGTGCGCGCATGTGTGTGCGATTTAGGTGAGCATTTATGTTTGCTCACGTGTGCGCATATGTGTGTTCCACATGTACACACATGTGTGCTTTAATCGCACACGCGGTGTTCCAGGTGGACACATGTTTGTGTTCCAGTGGTATACATATGTGTGTCCCACGCGTACACACATGTGTGCTTTAATTGCGCGTCTTTGTGTTCCAGGTGAACGCATGTGTGTTCCACGTGTACACACATGTGTGTCTGAATTGGACACGCGTTTCATTGTGTTCCAAGTGAACACACATGTGTGTTCCACGTGAACGCATTAGCGTGTCGTAAGTGAACACATATGTGCGTTCCACGTTTGCACATGTGTGTGTGTGCTTTCCAAGAAGCACATGTTTGTTTTCCAGCTCAACACATTTATGCGTGTGCCGCAGGTGAATGTATACTGTTTCAGTCGTATACGTATGTGTGTTCCACGTGTACACACATGTGTGTCTGAATTGGACATGTGTGTTTGAACTGCCCATGTGACTGCGTGCTTGCGCGGCCACACTTGCGTTCACGCGCGCGCGCTCGCCCGCCATCGCGCGCGCTTGCCCAACCTCAGTTCTGGCGCGGTGCTGAAGCGCGAAGCATGCCAGCAACACACGTGCAGCAACGCAACGCGCGCCAGGTTCACGACTGCATCATTTTGATTCATCCGTGTTGAAGCGCAGAAAGCCACAAGCTGTTGGCATGTTTGTGCTCGCCCGTCAGCCCTCAACTGTTTGGGGTCTCTGCTGGTGTAATTGGCTAAAATTTCAAAGGGTAATTGTAATACAAATCCATCAACAATAGGGCGTTCCCCCAAAAGTCAAGAAAACCTTTTCAAAATCCCTTAAACGGGACAGCCCGATGAATCAGATCAAGGGTTTATTCATCCCGGGCCATATTTCCATCAACCACATCACATCCAAAGCGGGTCATCTCCGCGAGGACGACTACACTCCCGGAGGGTGGTGGCTAGAGCCATTGCGGAGGCACCAGGACGAAAGTTGCTGAAACCGAAGCGCTGCCTTTGGTCGTACGGCTCTGTCTTTCCTTGGTGGCTCCCAGCCATCCCCCTAGCTTTTTAGCCTTTTAGTGTTCAGTGGTAGTTTCCATTTAACCCACCAAAAGTTAAGCTTTAGCGGGGGATCTGAGAGCAGCCCAGTTCTGTCTTTAGCGACTGGGGTCCACGAGCCCCTCGGAGATTACTGGGGGCCCACCATACTAAGCCCACCGCTTCCTCGAGTAGCATTCGCGAAGGTCTGGCTAGTCAACTGAAGCTGCTCGGTTCGTAGATTCCGGAAAAAAATGGAAGTGGATAGTTCCCAAGGAATGTTCCCTGAGTTTGAAGCACCTGGCCAATCTCAACTGCGACGATTGTTTTAGGAAACAACCGATGACCGTGGGCTCCGCAGCCCGGGTAGACGATCACAGAAATATGGGGTTTGGTCACAAAGAAGGAGACCCCCCCCAAGACAAACAAACACACACAAAAGAGGGTGGTGTCCGTGTGGTTTCCCTTGAAAAGAGAGTACTCCAAGAACGGATGGGACTGCAAACCGCTGGCATGACGCATTTTTTCTTTGTGCGTGACTCCAGGAGAGCATGGCGCCGCTGTTGTCGGACCAGGAGCAATACCAGGCGGAGAGCCGGCGAGAGATCAGGGCGCACGGGCGGAGCTTGGATCGGCCAGTTGCAGCTGGGTTCAACCCAAAACGGGTGGCTCGTCTTGTTTAGAGCTGGTGCTTCTGTTGGTTTTCAAATGGACACCACCGGGAAAATGATGATCTTGAGCGGGCTAGATCCCCGCAAGAAGCCGAGCCACCCATATGTCAACGCTTTTTAGATGGTTACATCAAGTTTCGGTTTAAAGGTGTTTTCTTGGGGGAGCCCTGGCTCAGTTCCGCGAATTCCAGCCTGCAAATTTAGTGGATGGCGGATGGAGAAGCTTCTGCACTTGATCGGCGGTTTATCAACCAGTATTCCTAGGGTTCCATGTGCAAGGCTTTGCCCTTCAGTATCTCTCCCCCTTTGGGTCCAGGAAGGGGCCTCTCACAAGCCGAAGCCACCATGCGAAGACTCAAATACGGATAAATGCGTGCCCGCAAAAGTGGTAACTGGGAGCCTCAGTGTATTATTGCTGGCCAGCCGACATACATCAGGCCTGCTAGCCTTTCAAATCGACCCCCCTTTATATTGGAAAAGTGTGTTGGACACTAGTTCATGAAATTTAGAGACATTCAAGCACGGGTCTCGGACTCTTGTATACTGTTGGCAAGCCCCAGATCCTTGAATAAGGTCCTTCACAAAACCAGATTCGGATTTGTCGTTCAGATCCAGATCCAGCTCGGAATTTTCGGAGGTTAGCAGCAGGTTGGATCCGTTTTCCAGATGCCCTTGGTTGCTGGTCAACATGGATGAGGCCAATTTCAACAAAAAAATGCCCCTAATCGGCTCCGTTTGTATCCGTCCTATCGGTCTTCCCTTCGTGCCAGGTGAAGCTGTCTCCCGAGGACCTGCGGAAATGGTTCCAGCAAGTGCACAAGACCCAGAAGCGCCTCGATCGAGGGCGTGTGATTCAGAAACGGGAAGGCATCGAAACGGATGCATTCTCTGCATGGTTGTTGGGGTTTGCATTTTACAAATTTTGCGTGTGGTTTAGTGGGATTGAAATCCAAATCCACTTGACAGCTCAAATTGACAAGTTCTTGCTCCCCTTCCAACGGCCAAGTCTGGGTTTCCGAGCCCAAACTCTTGGGACCTTCGTGTTTTCGGAGTCGCTTGGAATTCGGAAGGGCTGGGCTTTTGGGCTTGGTGGCACTGGTTGAAACAACCCCCTGATTCTCATGAGCCCATAGATGCTTATTGTTTTTGCATGGCATTCATAAACGATATTCCCTTTGAAACAACCAAGGATAATAATCCCAATGATGACATCTCATGGTTGTTTATGCACATTTGCACAAGATGCTAAACTCACGCGGCAAGCTCATTTGCACTATGCGTCCATGACCCTGTTCCTTGCGTATGCGCTGTTTTGTTTGCTCAAGGTACCCTCCCACGAACAAACAAAATGGCCCAAACCGGAACCCCCCAATCAACGGTTCCAGGTTAATTGCTGGGAGGGTAGCCCGTTTTTCCCACACCAAACGGGGTGCTTTTGCTTTTGAGCTGTTCATGCGCTGCGGTTTGTTCTTTGTTTTGGGTACGCCATGTTTGTCTTCCAATTGTTTCCTCAAACCAAAACGGGGTGCAAACCCGTAGAACGTCCTTCTTGTACCCGGGGAGTGTTTTTTTGTTTTTGCTGGGGATCCCAGGTACACCATGTTTGCCCCTGTGATTCCCAGACCAAAGGACTTGCATTTGCGTTTTCTTTGGGGCTGTGAGGCCAAAGGATCTTTGTTTTGAGGCGGTCTGGGCGGTTTTGGGGCGGTTTGCTGTGAAGTAGACCTTGCCTTCAGGTGGTCTGGGCGGTTTTGGGTGGGGTTTTTGGGGGTGGTTTGGATTTGTTTTGAGGCGGTTTTGGGGCGCTTTTGGGGCGGTTTTGCCGCCCCCCCCCCCCCAACGCCCCTGGACCCTCCCCCCACCCTTGGACCACCCACCCCCCCACCCTCAGGTGTTTGGCGAGGTACATGGGCGGCTTGGGGCCAAAAGGCGGTTTGGGGGCTGTGAGGTACACCCACTTCGAGAAGCTCTTGGCCAACGTGGACGCCACCTTCGCCTTCGTGCAGATCAACCCGGGCCACCGGCCGCTCCGGAAGCTCCGGGCCGCGTCCCGGAGCGGGCCCCCGCCCCTCGACGCCTTTTTGGAGTCGAGTCGGCGGGCGACCCAAAAAAGGGGAGGAGGAGGCGGTGATATCTTCCATTTCGTATGAGAAAGAGGGAATATGTTATTTAAGAATTTGTTATTTAAGGATATGTTATTTAACAATACTTTATTCAATAATATGCTATTAAGAATATGTTATTTAACAATATGTCACTTTTGTTTGTTTAAGACCTTTGTTGGGTTGCTTCCCCTGGTTTCAAAGGGCAGCTTGTTCGAAACTTGGTCTCACTTGCTGAGTTCCTGGACTTGACACTTCTTGGGTTTGGACCATTTTAGTGGTAACCAGAAATCAGAAAGTTGGATTTGTTTGGCAAATCCACTCAGGAAGTGAGTGGTGGTTCGCCATCCGATGTTTCGTTTTGTTTGTGTTTCTGCTTTTGTCTCGTGGTAGTTTCTGCGGTGGGATAGAGGAAAGATCTTGTTGGAAATGGGGCCCTTTGTTGGAGTCTATTTTGTTTGTTCGAAATTAAGATTTACCATACCATATACTTGGTTAATCATGTGGAGAGGGAATTGTTTTTTATTGTAATTAGGAGATGATTACGGAATTGTGCATGTTTTGCATGGTTAGTTTACCCTCTTCATGTTTTATGTGTTTAATGGTCGTTTGGGCGGTTCCATGCAAGTCTGTGGAGTGTGGGTGTCCACGGGTGGGTGGCTCGGTTTTTTGGGGTGCCCCGGTACCCCCACCCATGTTGGGGGGGGCCCGGTTTCGTTTCGGTTTGCCTAAGGCAACCCCGCCACACCCATGTGCGTTTGTCTTCGGGAATCCCTGAAGCGTTTCTTGTTTGTTTGTTTTGGCTTCCCCTAAAGACCAACCAAAAGCCAAAAGAGATCTACCAGAAAGTCAAGCCACGCCCCACAACGGATTCTCAAATAAAATTCGGACCCCTTGGCATTTTAAAGGGAAGCCAAAAGGACACCAACCATTGGGCGCCGCATTGAGCCACACACGTCCCCTTTGTTGTGGTTTTAAAGGGATATCAAAAGGAAAACCACCTTCGGGGGGCAGTCCGATTTGACACAAACCGAACCACTTGGGCCAATTTGCAGGTATTGTTTGGTGGAAGCTGGGTTTGCTTGCCTGTGATACCAAGCGATCCCCCGTCCAAGGGATGAACTAGTCATTGGCCCACGTTGGGAGGACAGAAAAACGCATCTTCCACAACCCTTAGAGCCTCCTATAGCCCTGGACGGTTTACATTTTGTTGTTGGGCGCTTTGTTTTGCTGCTTTGGGGGGGGGTGATTGCGTGTTTGTTGTGGTTGTGCTAGTCCGGTGTTGTTTCTTGTCGTGATGTGTGTTGTTTCGCGGTATGTGTCATGTGCGTTGTTTTATTTGGTTAGCATGTTGTTGTTTGTTTGCTCGTAGGTTGATAGGTTGGTTGGTTGGTGTCTAGTCTTGCTATTTAACCTGAACATTGGTGTTTCAGAAGTGAGCACCTAACATACCTTTTGGCGTTTCCATCTTGGCCGAGTTTGGGCAACGCCCCCAACCACTGGAAGAAATTCGGAAGCTTCGGGGTCGCCCACAAAATCACAGCAGACACATGTTGTTGCCTGTCGGGAGCAGCGGAGCCGCCCGGAAAGAAACTAAAACAACAAGAGGAAGAGCATTCAAACAAAAGCAAAACAGAAAAAAACAAAACAAAGAAAAAAGCAACCAAAAAACAACAACAAACAAAACAGAAAAACACAGGCACCCGACCCTTCAAACCGGGTGCTTTTTCGTCCGTCCCGTTGGCCTCGAGCTGCAGGTTGACCCTGAAAAGCACGGCGTGCCCCACGCCTTTGGCGCCCGAGGCGCGGACTTGAACACTGGGCCTTCGCGCGGCTTTCTAAACGCGCGGGGCGACAAGTGAGCTACGTGCTCAAAGCCCAGGGAGATGAAGCTTAGGGAGGGAGTAACTCCCAAGCATAGATAGCTGCGGATATCCGCCTTCTTAGTTCTTTACATGTCTCCGGGATTATGAAGATTTTAATACCGGGTTTTGGGTTATGACTCAAGTCCCCCGTTTTCCTGGCTATTTGTCAGTGAGAGACTTGGGTCCTAGTTGCTTAGATGTTGTTTTTTTTTTTTTGAACTTGTTGGCTGAACATGTGTACTTTTCACTTAGCAGGGCAAGCCATGTTGGACCGTTTTTTTTTTGTTTACCCACTGCCATTTGAACGATTCTGCTGGTCTTTTTGCGAATGAACCGGTTGCTTCCATTTGCTTAAGAATATGGTTTGTTTTCCATTGTTGATTTTAAAAGGGAATCTAATATGTTTTTTTGTTCTCCCGGGGAGCTTAAGCAAATGGAGGGTTGCCAGGCCAAGGCCAACGGTCAATCGCCTCGTTTTCGGCCGCTGGCCGGCGCCCAGAGTGGTTCGGAGCTGGCGGTTGGTTGGGAGAAATCCAAGCGGTTTGGTGGATGAATTCCCCAAAGGAATAGCACCTGAGCTGGCTGGGAAGACCACCCGATCACAGAAATGCTTTGAGACTTTGGGCCTCTTTTTATATATATACATAGACGTATATATTCTGCGCGTCGGACGCTTCTGTTCTTGAAGCCTACGACTTTGCGCACGTGACACCCGACGGGATGCACATGATTTATAACTTTGAAGGTCCGGGCATCTGGTGAAGCCTTTTATTTCAGGTACACCAATTTGAGCAAAGGCAACCAATACGGTCTGTCACTTTGTTTGGGCTAGTCATTTGACCAGGTCAGAAGAGCCTATGGTCTAAGTCTGGGCTGCTTTTGACCAACTCACGGGCATCCAACCCAGAGAAAGGGCCACCAGGTCCACATTTCTGGGAGGACTTACGTGTGTCTCCCTCAAAGGCTGCTTATGGGAAAGTCATGCTGTCGACCAGTTAGAAAATCCCCCTCCCCCTCAGTTACTAAGTGGGGGTCTGCTGAAAAGGAATGAAGGAAGGAATTCCCCCCCCCCCCCCCACAACAAGTGGGAGGGTTTAGTCAAGGATATGATTAGTTTGAAGCCGTTTTGCTGGAATGTATATAAGGGAATGCCTAGTCCTTCCCTTCGGAAGCAATTGGCCCGCTTACTGATTCTTGTGATTCTCGTTTAGATGATTAAATTTGCTCATGTCTTCCAGCTTTCAGCCATGTTCGGAAACTGACGAGGCAGAGAACACAGGTCAACTGCCTTGGCCAGCTCTTTTTCAATTATTGCCCTGAAAGTGTAGCAGCCCACACTTCTCTCCGAAAGTGTTAACGACCATACGTCCCAGGCAGATGGGTTTCGTTCGATTGCCCCTTTCCGGACCACGGTGAAACATCGCAATCTGAACATCTCCCCCCAGAAGAACATCTCTCCAGCGCAGGCTCAATAGAGGTGGGTCTTTTTTAAGGATTTAGACCCCCCTTCCCCCCCAACCGATTTGCCACAGCTTCAAGAAAGCCGTGCCCGGTTTTGCCAATGGGTGGCAGCCATCTAAGAGTGTGGGTCTGTCTTTTTTTGTAGGAACCTCCAAAACAAGTGGTTTACCATTGGGGTTTCTCTTTCAAGCAACCCCACAAAGTCAGCTTGATTCTTGTGGGAGACCAGATTCGAAAAAGCAGCCATGTTTAGTCTTCACCTCTGACACACACATGCTGAGAACAAGCAGTTAGCGTACAAAACTTCTGGCCCACTTACACTCCTGCTGGAAATTCTCCAAAGGCCTGCTGAGCGCGCCTCTTTGCTATCTTCTGCCGCATGGCCGTGTCTTTTGTGGTGGTGCCCTTTTGGGTGTCTTTCCTTTGGAACACCCAGCACTTAAAACCACCCCAACAAACGCAGGCGCAGCTTTTTTGTTGGGGGGAGAAACGAGGGCCGTTTTGCCCCGCCCCGGTTTTTGGGGGGGCAGAAATTCCGGGGCCGTTTTGCCCCGCCCCGGTCGACGGTCAGCACTCCCCATGGAGGTGCTGGCGGTGTACAAGGCCTACGTGGGGAGGATCAAGTTGGCGAAGTTCGACGCGGTGTTGCCCAAGTTCCGGAGCGTCTTCCTGGAGGCCGGGGGTTTTTCTGGGGTCCAAGGCATCCGATCCGTTCCGTAGGCTTTTGGTGGTTTTTGGTTGGTTTCGTGGGGGTTCCTCCGGTTCAACTGAGGGCTTTTAAGTTGCTTTTAGGTTTTTTAGCGGGTTTTGTGGTTGGGTTTCCTGAGGCTCCTAGTTGCTTTTTGCTGGTTTGGTGGCTTGGTTTCCAGTTAGCCTACTAAAAGTTATTCACTTTTAGCAGGGGATCAGGCTGGACAGCCCAGGCATGGAGCGGACACGGATGAAAACGGATGGCCCCCCAAAAGATTTGCCCGGGATCCCCTGCAGATTTCCCCATGGGTCTGAGAAACTCCTTTGCAGATCAAACATTGCTGTGACTTGTCCCCAGTTCAGGGGAAATTTAAGCAAACGGAATTCGTGTGGTTTGTGGTTGTTTACTTGCTTCTTTGTTCCTTTTTTTGGGGCGGGGCATCCACCGTATATCTTTTTCGGTTGAGTAATTATGTCCTTGTTGGGTTCCAGGCAGAAAAGACAAACCGAGTCAGCAGCTTAGATTCTGGAGAATTTTGAACAACCGATTCGAGGCAGAAGCCCCTTCCAATTACCTTGCCTGCCGTTTCCAGCAAACCCGACCAACCAGTTTGACGGTCAAGCGCCGAGTGAGCTTCTCAAACGGCGAGAAAATGGCCGGGTGGGGTGGGGGCAACTGGCTGGTGGGCAGGGTTGCTGTGAACATCTGAATGACCAAACCACGAGGGTAGGAAGCTTTGGTCTTAAACTCAGATTGCCCCAGCGGCAAAATCCCTAACCCCAGGGCTCCAAAACAAGTGGGAAGCTTTAGGGCATTGACGTACAAAGTGAGGCAAAATAGCAATCCATGTCCTGCAGCGCCGAGCGCTCCAATTGGAAAATGAGCCAAACGAGCAATCAAGATTCAATCGTTGTCCGGGCTAGAGCTGCCCAAGACAAAGCTTCTGCCTTGTAACGAAGATGTTTTGATATTCCCCAAATGAAGTTTGGGTTGGAAGAACTCCTCGCTAAGGCCCGTGAATCACACCGGGCTCTCAAAAGTTACCGAAGGACAATACGGAGGCACCTGTGGTTAAATCGTGACTTGCCCTTTGGCCATGTGTTTGGGATTCGGCAACCCCGGGTTCGGGTTGAAGTGGGTCGAACGGGAATCCACCAGATAAGCTGGAGCAACAAGCATGTAGGGATAAGCATCCGCTGGGTTCAAAACCCTTTGAGCTGTGGATGGTTCCGAACGAAGCCTCATGGTGTTTCTGGGCTACCTTCCCTGGCTTGTTGTTTTGTTTTTTGCAACAGTCACTTGGGATTATTCTAGAGGGCCATGCCAATCAGAGGAACCCCCTGAAGGTTTGATTGATCCGATGTGGGCAGTCGATTGACACATATACAAAATGTTGTTTTCTTGAAGGGTGGCCTCGACCCCAGAGACGACCTTCCTCGTGTCTAGAAGATTGGATTGGTTTCCAGTGGTTTCCCTTTACCGAGGACCAAGTGCGACCCTTCTACCAGATTATTAGTACAACCTTGTTCTTGTCCGTGAGGGACAACTACTGAGCTGTACCCACAACCCTCCCATTGGTCATTCTGGAAGGTTAGGTACTACCTCTGAAGCGTATCATAGTGCACTCAGAACTCAATGTAACCATCTTGTTTTTCCCCCCCCCAGGAATCTCGTGTTGTGTCACTCTCTCGCTCGCTTCTTGGGTTTTCCGAGTGAATCTGCGAGCAGGCCTATTATGGTCATCCCACGTCTTCCCTTCACTGTTCCTGGGATGTTTTTTTGTTTGTTCCTATTTAAGCTTGTTTTGCCAAACAAAACACACACCTGGTTCTGGTCATTTTTGGTGGGCCGCAAGAAGCGCAGGTTTTGTGTGCACATGCCGAGTGTTGGACCATTCCAACCGGCTTTGGCCGGATGCCAGGAAGCTCCGAAGCGTGTGGCGCCGGGAGACGCGTTGAAGCTCTACGAGGACTTGCAAAGGGAAGGGTACCCTTTATTGGGTGGGATCCTGGTGGTTTGGGGATTTGGGAACGGGTCCCTGGTTCTTGTAGATTGGTGGTTTGGTGGAGATTGGTGGCTTGGTGGTTGAGGGCTGGTTTCCCATCTACCCTCTACTGAAAAAGGGAAGCTCAGAAGCCGGCGGAAGCCTTTTTTCAACCAGACAGGGCCATGTTCTGGAGTCAGTCTTATTCTAGCCGCACCTTCCCCATTATCTTAAACTTCAGGCATATTTGTCTCTTGAAAGAATGAGCCAATCCTCTGGGGAGATTGGGGTGTTTCCAAAAGAGACCGCTGGGTGAAAAGACAGGGGGATCAGGAGGTTTCTCCTTTTAGTTTAGTGCGATGGCCACGGTCTGGGTTTTGGACGGCGAATGGGTGGTTTCTGAAGGCGATGAAAAGGTTCCCTCCCCTTCTCCCCTCCTCCCCTCCTCCCCTCCTCCCCTCCTCCCCTCCTCCCCTCCTCCTCCCCTCCCTCCCTCCCTCCCCCCTCCTCCCCTCCTCCCCTCCTCCCCTCCTCCCCTCCTCCCCTCCTCCCCTCCTCCCCCTCCCCTCCCCCCTCCCTCCTCCCTCCTCCCCCCTCCCCTCCTCCCTCCTCCCCTCCTCCCCTCCCTCCCTCCCCCCTCCTCCTCCCTCCTCCCCTCCTCCCCCCCTCCTCCCCCTCCTCCCCTCCTCCCCTCCTCCCCTCCCCTCCTCCCCCTCCCCCTCCCCCTCCTCTCTCCTCCCCTCCTCCTTCCTTCCTTCCTTCCCTCCCTCCTTCCTTCCTTCCTTCCTTCCTTCCTTCCTTCCTTCCTTCCTTCCTTCCTTCCTTCCTTCCTTCCTTCCTTCCTTCCTTCCTTCCTTCCTTCCTTCCTTCCTTCCTTCCTTCCTTCCTTCCTTCCTTCCTTCCTGCCTTGCTTCCTGCCTTGCTTCCTCCCTCCCTCCCTCCCTCCCTCCCTGCCTCCCTCCCTCCCTCCCTCCCTCCCTCCCTCCCTCCCTCCCCTCCCTCCCTCCCCTCCCTCCCTCCCTCCCTCCCTCCCTCCCGCTCTTCCTCTCTCCTTTCTCCCTACCTCTGTTTGGCCAAGAACTCTGAGCAAAGTGATGCTTGAACGGGCACTGCATATATAAGCCATTATAAGCCAGAATTACCTAAATTACGATTAGCTGTGTTACAGCATACACCCAAGGGTTCGCCGAGCTCGGCATGTTTTGCTGTGATGTGCATGCGTGGAAAAGAGTTCTCCCAAGTGCTTGATACACATCCCCGCTCGGGCCGGGTGAAGATGAAGGCCTGATCTGGAAAGCTTTGCATTGTGCTTTCGTGTTTCTGTCCTTTCCTTTTCTTCCTTGTTTTTTTTTTTTGGGAGGGGGGAGGTTGGAGGGCTTTGTGCTTCTGGATTCGTAAAGCCCGGACACCCAATGGTCCCCTTCTTCATTTTCTTTTGGAGTGGGGCGAATTTGTGGTGCCCTTGTCTTTTTCTGAAAGGCGGGTTTCCTCCGAAAACATCCGCCGGCCAAAACTCGAGCGCCCAAAACCCACCAGCAAAATCCGCTTTCCGGGAGCGGCGAGGACATGAAGCGGCTGCTCAGGAAGCTCCGCAAGCAGAGGACGGATGAGAAGGGCTCGAAGTCCCTGAAAGAGAAGTACGAGAAGCTGGCGGGGCGGGGCGTGGGGGTTGGGCCCAGACGGCGTTGATTGGGTTTGGGAACCAGGGGCCTTGAAAATGCGATGGGCGGGTTTGCTAAAATCTACAAGTTCAGTGGTCAAAACCAAAATCCAAGCAGCAGAACCAGTCATTTTGGGGTAAATTCAACTGCTTACAGGTCTTTTGTTGGCCTCCACTCCGATCCGCCCATCCGCCCCACCAAACCGGGCACCCCGTTTTTTTTTTTTTTCCTTTCCGATCCCGACCTGCTTTTCGGGCCCCTAAGACAAAATGGAGGTCCAAAAACAAGCCACTCGATGTGGCGCAGCTGTTTGAGTAATCCATCGCCAGGTCCTCTTGGGGATCCTTTGTTTCAGGTGTTGGAATTATAGTAAAGAATTGCAGATCTGGAGTTTGCCACAGTTCTTTGTTGCCAAGTGAAATCCAACTGTTTGTAGCCAGAGCCCTCTTGAGCAGTTTACGAACCTAAGCAGAAGGACCAGGGTGGGAATGGGTTGGTCCTAACTTCTGTGATACCAAAGTCCTTCGTGCGAGCTAGTCGGCGGAAAGTCTGCTTCTCAATCACATCGCTTGGATTCCTTTTCGGTCACACTCAAACCCCACAGTACAGAATTGGTTGGGAAATGACCCAGAGTGGTTCAAAATAGCACGGTTTTGTCCGGACACGTGCCTAAATGGGGTCAATACCCAGTGGGTGCATTCCCCGGGTGTAATACAAAACCCCAGTTGGAAAATCCTTCCCCCATGATTCAGGCTCTTGGGCCCCGATGCGGCGAGAAAAACACAACACACGATGTGGGCATTACAGGCTTGAAGCCTTAAGAGTCGGATTGGGGCGAAGGATTCTGACATTTGGGTATGGGTTAAAATTGAACCAACAGGGGACCGCAGGTTTTAGTCCATGTGTCCATTTGCCAGGGTTCTATTTTGGGTACCTAATTTTGACCCACAGCCAGTTGGTTTCTCACATTGCTTTTGGTTTCCCTTCAAAACCGTCCAAAAGGCGGTCCCCTATTTTGCGAGACCATGCCGTGTTGCGTGCAACCAGGGCAACAAAACGCGTCAGAATCCTTGCCCCCACCTGAATCTTAGCCTTTTCGGTTTGCAGTGTGGGGATGTCCTCACGATGAGAACACCTTGTCGAGCGATTCGGTTTCCGCTAATTCTCCCTGACATTTGCCCGGGATGCCCCCACACTGTGGCGAACCCTAAACGCTAAGAGTCTAGGCCGGGCCCGCCAACCTTCATGTGGGGGCTGCCAAAACGCCAGCGAAGCGCTTATCGTTTTATCAGCCAGAGAGGGCTTCCGTGGTTGCCCCCCGCAGGGAAGACTCGATTGGTATGTGTCTGTCCGGGTTTCGGCCGCATCCAGGGTCCAAAACTGAGGGATTCTGAGTGCTCCAGGCTGATGTCGTGAGGGGCTCCAAATGTTGGGGGAAAATTGGGTGTTTGTTGGGTGCCACTTTCCGAAAATCCCTTGAGGTGTAGGGTGGTTGGATTCGAAACCACAGACACAAGGAAAGCCGAGATCTGTTTGTGGTTGGTACCCCTACGCATTCCCCAAGATTCCGGAGGTTTGATTCTCACCAGGCTTACCCTCCACATTGACATGGACCCCCCAAAGCCACCCAACTTTTAGAGGAATCTCCCCTCCACAGGGCCCTAGGGTCCTAGGGTCCTGTTGGGATTCCTTGTTCATGTCCAGGAGAGTTTGGCCCGGGATGTCCAGAGAGTGTTTTTGTTTTGTTTTTTCCCCTGGGCCAGAAGGCTCACTTGTTGCCCGGAGTCAAGAAACGCCCCCAAAGATCTCAGGGCTGGGGGCTGCGAGAGCCATGGGCCAAAGGTTGAAAAGGGTAAGGTCCCCCAGCGAGGTGCCCGTGAGACTCTCACGGCTCTTCTTTTTGTTTTGGTTGGGAGGGTTCCCCTTACGAAAATCGACAAGGGGAAAAAAACAAATCCGGTACCAACTTCTTCTGACCTCTCTACAGGTAGGATCCCTAGCTGACAGCCATTGCCTTGAACTTGGCTCTGGTTGGGTCGGTTGGGTGATCTGTAGGTTGCCTTTTTAAGACCACTTCACGTACCCTTCTTACGAACTTCTTTGCCTTGGGTGCCCTTTTAAAGGGGCTGGTTTTCCTGGGGCACGAAAGCTGAACGACACAGAGACTTCGGGGCAGCGAAATGCCGGGTCCGTCCATGCGCTCACCGCGCTCGCTCGCTCCCTGAGGTGCGGTCCCTGCCCTTGCACAGCGACATGCCGAGGATCCAATCCGCCCAAGCGCCCCTGCGACATGCACAGGTCGCTACCTCGCTACCGCTCGCTCCGGGAGGGGGGCGGTCAAATAGGAGCGTTGGCGTGTCAGCGGTAACTAGGCGTGTCCTTTTTTTGAGCTGGTACCAAAAAAACCGTTAAGCCATTTTGGGGGGTTAGTGAATATTTACGAACATGATGGCATGGGCACACTCAGCAATTCTTTATTAGGAAATGCTGGTGTCCCACCAAATTGCCATGTCAAAGCGGGCACAAAATGAATAGTGACCCTGTCTCACGTGATATTGGCTTTGCCCAAAGGAAGCCAAAAATATTAGCCCCCTGTTAGTCCTTTTGCGTTTCCCAGGGGGACAAGTTTCACAAATTGCTGCTCTTTGGTGGACTCGAAAGGCTCCCCATTTGGACTTTGAGCATATCGGATGTTCCAATGGCCACGTAGCCCGTTCGCCCCACGTCTTTTGGGTCGGAGGCCTGTGGAACGCCTCCTGAGAGGTGGCTATTTCGCTGGATTTGTTGAAGTATACAATCTAGGTCCCCCAGTAGTGCCCTTTCTCACCCCTTTTTCGGTTGGGAGGGTTCCCCTACTAAAATAGACTACAGAAGAAGGGGTACCCTTACTAACCTCTCTACTGGAGGACCTAGCAATGATCCACGCATGTTATCTTCACCCCATAAAGAAGGATGGACAAGAGAGACCTCGCGGTTTCTCGCCCAGTCAAAATGATAGGAGTCCCCCATTTTGGGGCCCCGAAAGCTGACATTCTTATATGTTTGTCCCGGCTTGGTTTCCCTTGAGAAATAGCAAAAGACCAGTTTTCGCGTGCAAACTCGCTCACTTCGGCCTTTCCCTCGAAGATCAGTCTTTCCCCCACCCACCAGCATGATAGGCAATCCTTTATACTTTGGGCCCCAGTTAGCCGCATCGGCCCACACATCCCTGACAAGTCAAACTTTTGGGCCCCAGTTAGCATTGCGCCATTCCGGCTAAAAAATAAACCTAGAGGTCTTTTTTTGTGCCGCAGTTGGGATTGCACCATTCCGTGTTTAAACAACAAGAGGAAACAACAACCTAGGGATTTGTCCTTGGGCAAGCGAGAGGCGTCCGGGTCGGCCGCGCCGATGACCCCGCAGCCGGCGAAGACCTTGTCCTGGGAGGGCGACGCCAGCTTGGCTCTGTGCAGGCGAGACGCGGATTTTGGGGCGAAGGGGATGTGTCAACTTTTTGGAGGGGTCCCCTTAAATGCTAGGTCCCCCAGCTCGGTGCCCTTTTTAACCCCCTTTCTTTGGGGGAGGGTTCCCCTACTAAAATAGACTGCCGAAAAAGAGAAGAACAAAAATGGTACCCTTCTTCTAACCTCTCTACTGGAGGACCTAGTAGGGGGAAGGGATCCCAAACCACACCTTTCTAGGGGTTGAGTCCTTTTCCATGAATTTTCACCATCGTTCTTTTCAAAAACCGGATCTGTTTCCCCAAGGTGTTGAGTGGATTTTTAGAAAGAAGGATGCCTGGGAAAGAATGGGGAAGGTACCCCTAAAAAGAGTTACGGGGGAAGGGATCCCGAACCACACCTTAGCCGGTGCTTGGAAGGGAGCCAAGGGATCCAAATTTGCCTGGGCGTATGGGCGCGCCAGCTCAAAACCCGGGCGCAGAAGGATCAGGAACGGACCCTCTGCGGCCATTAGCCAGCTGGGTTTTGGTTACGTGGTGGGTCCACTTCAATCCCCGACGTTTCATTGTGACTCATGTGCTGAGAGGTTTCCTGAGAGGTTTCCTTCAGCGGAAATTCAGATTCACGAAAATTATAGCTGGTCAGTTCTAGCATCGTTCTTACTCACTCCCTGAGTTCCTGCGCTTAGACTTTTCAGGAAGACCTACCACTAAGCTGTTTGGACTTTTTTTGGCCAATCCACTCGTTCAGAAGTGAGTCTAGTCGTTTATCAGCCCATTCTGTTCCGGGATTTTCTTCAGATAAAAGGGTTGCCGAACCCCTGCCCTTCCGAAAGGTTCCTTTTGGTTTCCTCTTCAGATTCAAACCGCTTCCTTCAGAACAAAATGGAACCTCTGTTTTGGGGCTTCCCCAAAAAGGAGCGTCCTCTAAAACTAGGGGTTGCATAGATCGGTTATTAGGGTTCCATTTTAAGCTGCTCAGTAATCCCTGGCGGTTTCCAGTAGCTCCCTTTCGTTGGTTTCCCTCAGAGGGTTCTGGCCGGATGACTAATCCTGATAGAAAGTTTCGGTTGGTTTGCTCCCATATGAACGAAACCCACTTTGCACCAGGTAGGTGGCTTATCAACCAGCAGTTGTAGGGTTTCATCCATCCCGGAGCGGATTTTGAATTCCTTTTGGGTTCCTTTTGAAACCAAACTCGAGGCTACTGCTGGTGGTTACAAAAGTGAAACCTTGCATTGTGAAAACTACCCTGCTGTCCATTAACATGGAACCCAACAAAGGGTCCCTTAGGAAAAGTCGTCCAATCCAGGACCCCGAAATGTCAGGTTCCATGGCAACGTGGACAGGGTAACCCACCTTGCATGGGCATCTCCAAGTTTGGCTTCCTCCGATTGAAATTGGGGTAAACGGGGCTAGCTTCACATCGCCTTGATGTTCAATTTGCTTTGGCGATGTACCGTGCAACCAGTTACCACATACTTCTTGCGGCAACCTACTTACCAAGCTTGACTTCCATGTCCCTGTAAATGGACATGGGGACCTCTGCATTCGGCTGTTGCGGATGTGGTTTTGCGATTGCCATGCATTTCGCCCTGCGTCCAACCTATTATGCACCAACATGTTGTCAAACACTTGAATCCAGAAACCTCGCTCCTTGGTCCTTTCCTGGGGTTTTGCTCGCTGAAAATCGGGTTACCCCAATTGGAGGTTTGGATTGGTGGCTTAGGGGTCGCCAAAACGGAAGCGCCCTATCCAGCCCAAACCACCAAGCGAAGATGAGTGAGGTGTATTCCCAGCCCACAGTTTTGGGCGACCAAACAATGGCTTCGACATGGTGAGCGATTCCAGCGATTTGGGAAAGACGAGGTATACCGAGCCACTATGGTTACGGTGTAGGTCCTTTGACTGAGGGATCCAATTCTTATCTTGGTGCCCAGCCGTCCGGTTCCTGGAGGTTTTTGGGGTTGTTGGTTGGCTTCGGGGTGTCCATTTCACCCACAAGCCAAACTTTTCGCAGATCTGAGGGCAGAGTTATCTCAGGTGGACATTACATTTGCAGATCATTGGGCCCGTAAAGGCGATCTGATCGCAAGGTTTACAGAGCCTGGTACCAAGATTCGGGGAGGGTATGGGCTTTCAGAGTTGTTCGAAGCGAATTGACCGGATCTGCCCCGACGGTTCCATGGCAGACATGCATGTGTCGTTTTTCCCCCCCCCGCCCTGGCTTTAAAGGAAATCTAGTTTCCACGTTGATCACCTTGTTTCTGGGTCCTTCAAGTTCACAATCAAAACCCGGGTAGATGAAGCTTGGGGGACACTCCCAGCCAGACACAGCTGCGGCCGCCTCGGTACTTCTTTACGTGGTTCTGGGATCATCATTTTAATTTCCCGGGTTTTGATTGTGACGTGACTCATCTGTTCTTGGAGAGTACGCCCATTTTCATACTCCAGTGAGTTTCGCGGGACCTCGATCTAGGTACTGCCACCAGGTCTTCGCGTTGACGCCTTCAACGAGCCGCGGCGAAACCTTTGGGCAACGAGCCGCGGTTTCGTCCCACTTTCCGAGTCCCAAAAAGAAGCCCCCTGGTGGGGAATTGCATTAAAAGATCCTCCAGTAGAGAGGTTAGAATAAGGGTACCATTTTTTTTCAGGACGTCTATTTTAGTAGGGGAACCCTCCCTCCCAAAAAGGGTAAAAGGGCACTATTGGGGGGCCTAGCATTTAAAGGGGAACCCTCCAAGAAGTCGACAAAACCTTCTCGCAATTCGGAACAGAGACCAAAATTATGAAAGGGCTGACACATTACTAACAGTGTTCCCCTAGAACCAGACTAAATGTGGTTTTAAAGTACCTACACCCCTGTTCTAGTTATTGAGGCCTTTATCTCACTCGCCTAATGTGAATCGACCTTTTGACCTTTACGTTTCCACTTGTCTTTTTTGTTTTTGGTTATGACCCCGAAAGGTGATTAGCTTTGATCTCTGGTTCCTTTGTTCAGGGTGTCTCAGGGGTCACTCGTTTTTGTGCAGAGTCTGTTGACACTGCCACCATTTGTAAGTTTCAGGGTGTGTTATGGGTGGGTTTGGGGTGGGTTTGGGTTTGGGTGGGTTTGGGGTTTATGTTGTATGGAGTATCTTGGTCGACCGAAAGCCCAGGAGTGCGCCAGCCCTTTGCCCCCGACATCAGCGCCGGGAGCGACAACTCCAGAAGTTCGTCCAGGGACCGGAGCGTGAGGACCGGAGATGAGAGCGGCTTGACAAATCGCTTTTCCATTTCTCTGTCAGGACATGGGCGATTGGGTCAGGGGACCATTTTTTTGGGTCAGGGGACCATTTTGCCAAGGGATGTTAGGACTTCAACTGTTTGCCAACTAATGGGTTTTCCGTATTAAACCACTAAAAGTTAAACTTTTAGCAGGGGAGCAGAAAGCGACCGAGTGTGTATGCATACATGTATTATATACATTATATATATATATATCTATATGACATGCTGCCATATGCACCTCGGTTCCAAGGGCAACCAAATCGAGGACACCATTTTGAGACCTATACCCATGAAACCTTTCAGCTGGTGTCTTCTCCAACATATGTTTTTTATTTTTCGGGTACACCAAATATGAAACCGAGTCTGGGAAAGCTCGGAGTGGGAGTTTTGCAGAGGGGCCGCAGCAACCAAGAAGCTGTTCATAGCCCTTGAATCAGAAGACAAAGTCTTCTAATCCCCGCTTTTGGTGGCTTTGGGACCCACATTGCATTAACCCCAAGGCTAGTGTGTTCAATTGGGAGATCATGTTGATGGCCTCTTGCCCTTGGCTACAAACATGTGACTCGTTTTCGTTGGTTCTTTAGGGCCAAGGCGCCTCTCTTTTCGGAGGACCCGAACCTTGTTGGTGTGAAGGGCTCCTCGATTTTGTTTTTCAGAATTGAGCGTGTCTCTTTTGACCCCTTGTTATTGGCTTGAAAGGGAAACCGGCATGCAAAGCGCAAATTTGGAGGGTCCCTGAAACAAGGACACGTCCAAATATCCCAATGGGGTTTGCATATGGCTTTGGGATGCAGCGTTCAGCTTTTGTGGGTCGGGGGTATTCTTTTTTGTGGACAATGGGGTGTGCTGTTGCTGCGTTCGGTGATACCATCGTATAATTTTCAAGCGATGTTTTGTTGGTTTTTAATTCCGGAATGGTTGACTCCCACACATCAAGCTGTTGTTGTTTTGTTGTTTCTTTTGGGGCTAAAGCCAGTGAATGGGGCATTGTACTTCAGAGCCAGTTCAAGCCAGAAGATAGCCATGTGGACCCGAAATGGCTCCGGTTTTCCTTTTGGCCTCGTGGTAGCAGGTTCCTTTTGGTTTCCAGGAATAACAGTTGGGTGAAGTAACAAACAAAAACAATTCCCCCCCCGCCCCTGCCCAAGGATATTAGTTTGGTCATCCCCTTGCTTACCCACTTAAAGGGAACTGCACCATCTAGTTTCAACGTAGTATGCCAAAAGTGGCTAAGCAACGAAACCTGTCCGCGGGGCTCCTTAACAGATACATGCACCCATTTGAAACATGGCTTTTTCCACCAAAATAAAGGGAACCCACCATTTACAAGGCAATGTTCAGGTGTATAATGTAAGGTCCCTGCTACGACTGAAAGACTCCTCTGTCGGGGCTTCCGCCAGGAGCCGAGCACCAAGCTTCCGCCGCCCAGCAACCCAACTGAATCGTGGTGACGTGAGCGCCCAGAACGGATTCCAATCATGTCAGTTTTAGTGGTTGTGCTACATGCTTCAATCGGGATTCAATTGGAAAGCCTTCAGATAACCTTTGTCGCCATCATAGTAGTTGCTGCTCATTTGTTGTTGCTTCAAACTGAGCAACCAACATCCACCCGCCTAGCTTTAACTTTTGGACACAAGCTGACTGAAAGGGGGTTCTTTTGCATGCCGAACTGGGCCATAACGCGCTTTCCCACCAATGCAGGGTCTAGTCACCAGTTCGGCACGCCTAGGCCGCATGGACATGGAACGCACGTGGCAGCTTGCATGATGATGATGATGATGATGATGATGATGATGATGATGATGATGATGATGATGATGATGATGATGATGATGATGATGATGATGATGATGATGATGATGATGATGATGATGATGCTGATGCTGATGCTGATGCTGATGCTGCTGATGATGATGATGATGATGATGATGATGATGATGATGATGATGATGATGATGATGATGATGATGATGATGATGATGATGATGTGTATGGCATTCGCTAGAACCCGTGTGCTCGAATTTGGCTCAGATGCTCCACATCCCAAGGGAGCCAAAGACGGGTGTCAATCAATGTCCACTCTTGTTTGGAGCCACGGCTCTGGAAAATATGAAACATGACGTGGGCCCATTTGCTGTGATAAAGGAAGTCCCTTCAACCTTCATGGGAACGGCTCTTATTGTCCAGACCTGCCACGGAAGTTTGGTATCAAACCGGCCGAAGTTGAGGGTTCAGGGATCTGATGGTCTGATGGTAAAGATGGTAAAGATGCAACCGCCAACTTGGAGGCAGTGCTAGCAAAACAAAGCTGGAATCAATAGCCCAACGGTATGGTGGATGCCCTAAATGTTTTGTTTGGAGGGTACCCGTTTGTCTGGGCTGGTTGGAGGGAAACTAAAAGGAAAATCATCGTTGCCCCTATTGTGAGTCAAACCCAAATATTGCTATTACAAGAACGAAGAAACTCTCTGTCTTGAAGTAATTGTCCATGGAATTCTGGTTGAGTAATTGTCCATATTTTTTTCGCACGAATCCTCTTCAATGCAGCAGAGGTTAGCAATATTAGTCAGGCATACCACGACTTGGCAAGCCGCTTTTAGAATGATCCGACTGATTCTTGGCGGAATCTACCAGTTCCAAGCTGGTTGTAGCATTCGCCCAAAAGCTGTTTCCCAGCACGGGGATGGGCCAACTACTTGAAGGAAAGACTGGGACCTTTTGTTTGGGGGTATCTTCGTTTTTCGTGTTGTTTTCCTTGTAAAAGGAGGTTTGGTGCTTCTTCTCCACTTCAGGTGTTTTTGTCGCTCTTGTCGTCTGTCGTGGTTTGTTCGTTCCTTCCTTCTTCCATTTCTTTTTGGAGGGGGAACAGGGGATTACGCTGCGCATTGGTAGCTTGAGCTCGCTCCCTTCTGCACGAGCGGGGGATTCCTCGACGCTCGAGAAAAAACAGAAAGGGAACGAAAAGGGGGGGGTTGTTCCCAACAGAACCGCCCTTGTTTCTTCTTGGGAACCGGGGGAACCGGGGGAGCGGGAGGGGGGGGGGGGGGGCGGGGAGCTGAGGGCGGGGAGCAGGGAGCGTGGCTTTCGTGAGGCGCGGAGAAGCCCTGGCAGGGCTGGACGCGGGCCTGGGGCAGTGCCAAGGACCAGCGCTGAGAGCCCGGGACGTTCTGGGGGAAGCACCGGATTGACGCAACCTGAGATTTTTTTCTGAGTCCCTGAGTCCCTGAGTTCAGAGTTTCGGACTTGAAACTCTTTTTGGGCTTGGGCCATTTGAGTGGAAGATAGAAAGTTTGGACTTGGATTTTTGGCAAATCCACTCAAGTGAGTTTATAGCTGGCAAGGGGCAGGGGGGTTATTCAACAGAGGTCAACTTTACCCGTTTTCCGTGGGTTGGAAAGGAGGTTGTTCCCTGTACACCATATTTATATGGGTGGCTCGTCTCTTCTGGGGAAAAACGCCCTTCGTTTCAACGGGAATCCAATGTTTCCTCGAGAATCACATGCGCCCACAATCCCAATTGGCCAATTTTAGCGGTGGTTCTACTTCCCGGTCTATATGGGGGTTGATCAAAAGGTCCTTTACATGGGATGGCCATTGGAAGCGGAAAAGCACCAGGGGCTGAACGGAGCGTAGATCAATCCCCATTTGCTGAACCTGGGAGTTCGTCAGCCGTCCGGTTCCATTAGTTGTTTTTGTTTTTTGTGAGTGGTAGTTCCCGAACTTAGCCCACAAGTTGAAATTTTAGAAGGGGATCTGAGGACAGCCCACTGCAATACATATTTGTTTTATTGTCGCCGGGTGGTTTTAGGGGCGATTCTGTCACTAGCGACATTTTTTGTGTGTTTCCAGACTTCTGCAAATGGAAGACAACAACCATGATTCTCAGCTTACCGGGGAGACCAAAAGGGGATGGTAGTTGCGCAGTCTTTCCGGCCCGATTTTTTACCCCGGCGTGAAAGTCAGCCAAATATTGCAAATGCTTCCCTAGCTGCTGTGTTTATAGGCTCTTGACAGCCCAGCGCTTGAGTCGCCCAGAGCTCTGGTGGGTGAAATCCATTGGCAGCCAGCGAGCAGTCGGGCGCGCAAGAAGCGCATCGGCCCCATCGGGCTTTGGCAGGAGAAAGAGAAGTGCCAGGGCGAGGAAGACACCACAAACAAGGCAGGGAGTGAATGCATAGGACACTGTCCCCGACACTCCCCTGCACATGAAGAGGGCATTTGTCAACGTAGGAGGCAACCTTATTATCTTTTTTTGTTTGGCGTCCCTTTCAAGGAACCTGAGAACGGTACCCTGCACAACACACACACACGGAAAGAAACAAGAAACAGAAACGAAATGGTGCCCCCCAAAAGGATATTATCTTGTGGTTTTCTTGGTTTCATGTTAATCTGCAGGAGTGCAGTTCAGAGACAAAGGATCCCCCATGCTTTTCACATCTTTTTGGGGGAAACTGCGAAGGCTTTTCAGGCGTTTGCCGTTTAGTGCTTGTTTTTTGACAGGGATCCCTAGCCAACAAAACCCTCCCCCCCCCCATGATGCAAGTCCTGGTGATTCCTGAAGAACTAGAGATACATTTTGCCACCATTTGAAACATGTTGCTTTTTCCACACCAAAGTGAAGTTGGACACCGGCATTTACAAGTTGCAATGCTCGATCGGTGTTTTTCACGCATCCGGATCCCTTAGGCCATGCTCACTCAGCCTTCAGGCGCAGGCGGAGGATCCCAAGGCGGCGCGGTTGGAGCTGCTGCGGCCCTACATCTTCCCCCATGGGCCCCTGCCGACGCCCAAGACCGGACAGGAGCTGGGCTTACCCAGGTGGGGGGGGGGGGAAGGGGGGAGGAGGGGAGGAGGAGGTTCCAGGGAGGAGGGTAAGGGTTCTGGGGGTGGGGGGGGAAGGGGGGGAAGGGGGGAGGAGGAGCCCCCAAAAAAGGGTACATACAGCCCCCTTTTGGTTGTGAATAAAGGGAGACAAAAAGGAACACCGCCATTGTAGTGTGTCCGGTTTCGGACTTTGGTCACTTTCTGGGTTTGGACTGCGTTAGTGGAGAATAACAGCTTGCAGATGTTTTTTGGCCAATCCACTCCGGAAGGGAGTTTTTGGTATCCTTTAAGCGACAAACCAAACTGGGCACCGCCCAAAAAAAGGCACATAAGGGTGGGAAAATCGACCCTCAATAGGATGCATCCCAAAGCCACCTGATTTACAAGGAGCCGGATCCTCTAAATCTTGTCTTCGGATTATTTTTCTCAGTGACCTACATGGGTGCTACAATTCACCCAAGACAAGATGGGAAGATTGGGCGGGGTCTTTCCTGCCAGTTGCGAGTGCCTCCCCCCTTGTCGTTCTCAAGCTAATGATATAATGATACAGACCACCAGTCATTTTTGTTTGCTCATTCATATGGGCATCAATGTCAAAATAGGGAACTGGCAAAATTGCTGCGGTTGATTGGTGGCATATGGGTGTGTCTTTTTCAGGGGCCCCTACAAAATGGCGGGTTCTCCTTCCGGGTTCCCTTCAAAAAATGAAGAGCAACAGGCACTCTCAAAAAAACACAAAGGATCCATATGTGCCATGGTCAATAACGCTCTTTTACTTTTAGGTCATGATGGACTTTAACGGGCAATTCGGACAACCATTGGGAGGAATGACACCGCACCTACGAAAGACGTCTTGACTGGCGCCTTTGCTTCACCTGGCAGGTGTGTTCGCCTTTTCACTTGTTTAGTTCTGTTCATTTTGAGTGGGCTGCAAAAAGCACACAGCTTTTGGCTCGCATATGCCAAGGGTAAGGGTTCCAGTTGGACCATTTAATCGAACCCTCAATCCAAAGCCCCAAACAACCCCTAAAACCCCCCAAACCCTTTGCCCTTTAAACAGATTTACTCCGCTGCAGATGAACATGGAACCCAAAAGGGAGCTACTTTTTGGGCAACCCATGTGAATCTTTCTGGTTCTCAGCAGGGAATGAGTTGGAATGACCCTGAGAAAAACCATCCCCTCTTTGGTTTTCTTGGAAAATCCCACCAAAAACCGTTTTTTCCCAAACACCCTCATTCAGTTGCTCACTCCCCTTTTTTGGGCAACCCCGCAAACCCTTAAACCTACAACAATTACTCCCCATGTTGCTTGGATGTTAGGACTTTAACTTTTTGCCAACTAATGGGTTTTCCAATTAAACCACTCAAAGTTATTCACTTTTAGCAGGGGAGCAGAAAGCAACCGGGAAGCCAGCATTTCGAGTTGGCGTTGGTATAGTATTGGCCGGGTTCCTTTCTCCAGCGGGTTCCTTTCGCCAGCTGGTACCTGGCACCATCCTCGAGCCCGCCGTCGGTGCGCAGCCACA